AAGCAAAGAGGAGGGAGGAGAGGGGAGGGAGCAAAAGGGCAGAAGGGTCCCTCTGCTACCCTCCCCAGGTCCCATGTCATCCAGCCTCATGGGAAACTGTCATTTACTCTTAGTAAATTTGGGGCTGGTACACTGACCATGGAGACCTGACTTCTATGGTGAGGCTATCAGGGCTCCACTCAGAACTTGATGTCTACTGATGGGGTTCCAACCCTGGTGCCTAAGCTAAGCCGACAATCAGGCCAGCAATGCCTCCCCTTAATTGAACTGGATCTCCACCAGACAGAGAAGAACTGGGCTCAGTGTGAATCACTGTCCTCCACCTTTTCCCCATCTATCGGGATGGGGACTCGGGATTCAGGATGGCTTCTGGACTGTCTTAGCCATGACCCTTTCTGCACTGTTCCAAGGTGTTTCTTGCAGACACATAATGAGGGAAAGAAAGAAAGAAAGCTCTTTCCATACTTAAGATTCACAGTGAAACACGAAACTCCATTCTGCCTTCTCTCCATTGCCGCTGTTCCTCAGCCCTCCATGCTTCCTCTATTCCCTTCTGTCTGTCCCTGAGCAGGGACAACTAGATCAGTGAATTGCCACCCAATATGGAGCACCCTCTGGGTCACCTCATGGATGAATGATCTCATATCTGGTTTGTGAGGTTTTGCTGTTTTATCGAGACGGGGTCTCATGTAGCCCAGTTTGGCCTCTGATGGGCTGAGTAGCCAACTGAAGATGACCTTGAATTTCGGATCTCCAGCTTCCACCATTCTTAGTGCTAGGATTAGTTGTGTGTCACAATGCCCCATGTTATGTGGTTCTAGGAATTCAGAGTTTGCTGCATGTTAGGCAGGTACTCAGCTCACGGCTGGCTTTTAAACAGTAGTTTCGGGTGGGCTTATACTGCCTGCTGGTTGGTGTAGCCAGGAACAAGGCACAAGGTTCACTTTGGTTCTGAAATTTCCGGCTCAGATACTGGCAAGCAGCTGGAGTCTTCTGAACTCTCCAGGTCACTTCAACCCCATGCTTCCAGAACATGATCTGAGCCAAAGTGTCTTCTTTGATCTGTAAATTATTTATTTGAAAGGTGTCACAAAGTAATAAAAATCACATGTAGTCCCACACTTTGAATCCCATTGACTTAACAGACTATAGTCACACAAAGTCAGCACTTATTCCAGAACATCTAACCTATGTGACAGTGACTCACACAGCAAAGAGAACAAAGAAGCCTAAAGAGCCGTGTTCAAGGCTTGCAGTGTGATCATGGGCAACACTGCTCCTGTCTGGGCTCGATCTCCTAATCCCCGTCACCAGATCTTCTCACCTGAGTGATGGCTCTCGGTTCTAGTGGCATGTGGTTCTGAGAAGAGAAGTACATTTCTGCCAGATCCCCAAAGCTGATGCCCTCCCCCTGAGCACAACTGAAATTTGAGCCAATGATCCATTTAGCACAGAGGCAACCCATCCTGAATTTTTAGTGACCCACGAGGTCAACAAGGGACAGTCCCCAGATCGGAAAATCCTGGGATCTTGCCACAGTTCAGTTCCTGGAGTCCCCAGCAGAGGCTTTTATAGATTCAGCCAGACGTGGAGCTGGGCAGGAGCTGCGCTAGCTAGTGTATGTCAACTTGATACAAGCTATGGTCATCAGAGAGGAGGGAAGCTCTATTAAGAAAATGCCTCCATAAGACTAATTGATGGGTGCGGATGCAGACCACTGTGGGTAGGGCCACCCCTAGGCTGGTGGTCCTGGGTGCTTATAAGAAAGCAGAATGAACAAGCCATGAGGTGTAAGCCAGTAAGCATCACCACTCCATGGCCTCTGCATCACCCCTGCTTACAGGATCCTGCCCTGTTTGAATTTCCTGTCCTGATTGCCTTAAGCGATGGACTATGATGTGGAAGTGTAAAGCAAATCAGTCCTTTCCTCCCTAAGTTGCTTTGGTCATAGTGTCTATCACAGCAGTAGTGACTCTAAGTAAGACAGGCGCTCAGAGAGAAGTTCTTATCCAGAGAAGGATTCGGCACAAGTGTAGAAAGGGAGGGTGCTTGCAGGAGGTCAGCCCACTACCCTCAGCATTCCACCTACTTCCCTACAAGAGCACTAAGTCTTGGCAGGAAACTGACCCCACAGCCTCTAAGCTGTTTGTCCAGCTGTCCTAGCCTCCCCAGGCCACAGGTTCTTATATACCTTGGCCTGGAGAATGTATCAGGCATCTGGACACCCATTGAGCCCAAACTAGAATCAACACATACTGGGAGGGAAAGGCTGGGATGAATTACAACCTCCTCTGGGCCTCTTCTCTATACAAAGTTAGCTCATCTCCAAAACCCCTTTAGCGTGGCAGTGAACACCTCTAGGGCCACAGTTAAGGGTTCAGCTTTTAGCCACACACAGTGGCTCCAGGCCTATGATCTCAGTACTTGGAAGGCTGAGATCAGAGAACCATGAGTTTGAAACCTGTGCCAGCCTGGCACATATAATGAAACCCTGTTGGAGGAGGAGGAGGGAGCTAGCTTTGAAGTTAAGACCCTACTCTAATCCCTCATGTGCCTGAGGGCCTAAGTAGACAATAAACCCCCTCCCAATTTAATGTAGAAAAGTACAGTTTTCATAAGCATAGTATCTGGCCTTCTTTCCTGGTGGGAAGTTTTTTAAAACAGAGTCTCATAGCCAGGTGGTTGGTAGTTCATGCCTTCAGTCCAGGCACTCAGAAGGCAAAGGCAGAAGGATCTCAAGGAGTTTGAGGCCAGGACAGACAGGGCTACACAGAGAAGCCCTGTCTTGAGAAAACAAACAAACAGACAAAAAGGTCTCATGTAGTCTAGAGTACCATCAAACTCACTATGTAGCCAAGACTAAGCTTGAGCTACTATCCTCCCACCCAAGCTGATTTTGAACTCCTGAACTCAATCCCCCTGCTCAGGATCCCCATACTTGGATAAAGGTTTCTTTAAACTCATTACCTGTGTTGGCTTATTTACCCTCTGGGAACAAAATAAAGGAGACATGAAAACCACCCGTCTTGCAAGCAAGGGCACTGAGATACACTGGAGTTAATAACCTGCTCCTGGTCACACAGCCTGAGAATATGGCAAGAGGCCTGACTCTGGGATTCAATGTTTTACACCAGATGCACCTTATAAATCAAAGCCATACAGTAGCAACCTGCCCTCAGCCTTCCAAGTCTGTGATCCAACCAATCAGATGACAGAAACATTCAGTTAGCGTGCAACACTGGCTCTGATTTTGAGTAACCAAGGTTCAGGAGCCAAAAACTATTGGAGGAATTCAAGTTAGGTCCCAGACTTGTGGCTAAAAATAATTTAGTTCATGCTCACTGTTTAAAAACAAAAACAAAAAAAACAGAAGAGGGGGATAAAGAGGTGGCTTAGTGGTTAGAAGCATGGTCTGCTCTTGCATAGGACCCTGGTTCAATTCCCAGCACCTACGTAGTGGCTCACAATTGTCTGTAATGCTCCAAGGAATCTGACCCTGTCTGTGGGTATGAATATGGTGCACAGATACACATGCAGGCAGAACACCCATATGTGTGAAATAAAGTAAGGTATTTTTTAGAAATAAAAAACACAGCAAAGGGAAATTTTGAATCAAGACAAAGAAGGAAACAGTGGCCAGTGACACAGCTTGGCAGGTAAAGGCACTTGCTGCCAAGCCTGATGACCTGAGTTCAATCCCCAAAGCCCACATAATGGAAGGAGAGGACCCACTTCTACAAGTTATCCTCAGACCTCCATGCATAAGTTGTGGCACAGGGGGGTGTGCAAACACACACACACACACACACACACACACACACACACACACACCATAGATAGATAGATGGATAGATAGATGGATAGATAGATAGATAGATAGATAGATAGATAGATAGATAGATAGATAGATAGATTAATGTAGGCAGGCAGTGGTGACAGGCACCTTTAATCCCAGCACTCAGGAGGCAGAGGCAAGTGGTTGTCTGAATTCAAGACCAGCCTGGTCTACAGAGCAAATTCCAAGATAGCTAAGGCTACACAGAGAAATCCTGTCTCAGAAAAAAAAAAAAATTAAGGTAAGCAGTGTGGTGGTGTGCATTTGAAATCCCAACACTTAGGTGATGGGGCCAGGAGGAGGCATTCAAGACCAGCCTTGGCTGTGCATTGACCTGGAGGCCACCCTGAGCTACGTGAGACCCTGTCTTTAAAAGCAAATAAAAAAGAATAATCAAGAAGGTGAAAACTGAGACCCAGAAGAGTGGTCCCCCATTATGTCTGATTTTGCCTTTGGTCCCCATGACTACTGTTGTTTCTTACAGTTGCACAGAGCCATGGTCCAGCAAGAGGGGACTCTTGAAAGACCAAAGATCAGGGTTACTCAACTTAGCAAATAAGAATATAAGATTCTCAGTCAGATCTAGATTTCAAATCAACACATAATTCTGGATCTAAACATGATCTGTGCAATATTAGGGCTATACTGGAGTTCGGATTCAACCGGACTTGCCATATTGTCTCTGGTGTTATTCCCAAAAACAGACTATGTTGTCCACAGAAACCACATTTCCCAGCTCAGACTCCTCAGCAGAGGAAAGACAGAAGGTCCCACCTTGTCCCTTTCTGCATCCAGGTGCCCAGATAGCAGCCCCCTGTGAATCCACTCAGTCTCAACTAGCCCCTCCTGCCCTTTATACCCTCTTGGAGAAATTCCACTGACATCAGGGATACTCACAGGGTTAAAATCCTCCTGACACCAACCAAGTCACTCTTTAACTCATTATCTTCAGGCCAAAGATTAAAAGCTGCCTGCGTAAGAGTCAGGGCTCCAGCAGACCCTGAAAGCTGAGCTGTCCAGACCCCCGAAGTGAAGAAAAGAGGAGAGGGCAAGGGAGGGCCAGAACCAGGGGAGAGAGAAAGGAGGGGCGGTCCACCAGCCTGCTGTCCCGACACAGAGCCGGCTCCGTTCCAGCTCCAGGAGCCACTCAGCTGCAAAGGCAGCAACAGCCCCACTCCTCAAGCAAAGGGCAGCAGGCAGGCAGACAGAAGTTCTAGAACTGGAGGTCTTCAGTCCCTGACCACTCAGCCTGGCCCAGCCCCATGGCCTTCAATGACCTCCTGCAGCAAGTGGGGGGTGCCGGACGCTTCCAGCTAATCCAGGTCACCTTGGTGGTTATCCCCCTACTGCTGATGGCTTCCCACAACACCTTGCAGAACTTCACGGCTGCCATCCCTGCTCACCACTGCCGCCCACCTGCCAATGCCAACCTCAGCAAAGATGAAGGTCTGGAGGCCTGGCTGCCCCTAGACAAGCAGGGACGACCCAAGTCTTGCCTCCGTTTCACTTCCCCACAGTGGGTACCACCCTTTCACAACAGCACAGAGGCCAATGGCACCGGAGTCACAGAGCCCTGCATTGATGGCTGGGTCTATGACAACAGCACTTTCCCTTCAACCATCGTAACTGAGGTAAGGATTTGGGGGTCCCTCTCTCTCCATGTGACACCACTTCACCTCTCAGACAGACAGACAGACACACACACACAGAGAGTCAAGTCCCCAGGGGCCAAGATCGGATGAGATAAAAGCATTCAAGAGGATGGCATTTGTAGAAGGTGGATGTGGAAGCTGCGGAGGGTTTGAAGAGCGCTTAGCTCCCAGGAGCAGTGAGACAAACAGCAGAGGAGAGTATGACTGAAAGAGGGTGGCATGGGCCCCAGAGGACCTTCCTAGAGGAGGTCGAGGGGCTTCCTTGCATCTGGGCTCTTCCCTGCCCAACTCTGGCTTCCCTCTCTCCACAGTGGAACCTTGTGTGCTCCCACCGGGCCTTCCGCCAGCTGGCCCAGTCCCTGTACATGGTGGGAGTGCTGCTGGGAGCCATGGTGTTTGGCTACCTGGCAGACAGGTCAGTCCTGGGTAAGCCAAAGAGCTGGGCTAAGCTGGGATTGGGGGGCTCTGGCTGGATTCGAGGCAGGAGTGGCTGGTTTAAGTACAAGACTCAGGATTCTTCCTAGATCCTCAGAAGACCGAAGCCCAGGGCCTCACCCTAGGCGGCTACTTTTCTGTGTAACTCAGCCTGCTCCCCCCCCCTACACACACACACAGCAGTCCTCAGGCCCCTGACCACAAGTCTTGCCTCCCCACAGGCTGGGCCGTCGGAAGGTGCTGATCTTGAACTACCTGCAGACAGCTGTGTCAGGAACCTGTGCGGCCTATGCACCCAACTATACCGTCTACTGTATTTTCCGGCTCCTCTCGGGCATGTCTTTGGCTAGCATTGCAATCAACTGCATGACACTAAGTGAGGGCTGCTCACCTATGTCCCTTCTCACCACCCAGCCCTGCCAGCCTCCTCCCTCAGCTCTCCCCTCCTGAGCCCCCTGCCCTCAGCCCAATGCCTCCCTTAGATCTGCATTTCCAGTCAACACCACCCTGCCTTCCCCAGCTCACACCATAGTAAGATTGCAGACTCATGGTCAGAGTGTCCAAGACAAGCCAGATACAGGAGATCTTAGGAGTAGTGAAGACTGTATCCAAAGGAGATCCAAAGGCTAGTGAGACAGGCCAAGCATGGTGGCGTGTGCCCACCATCCCAGGACTCAGGAGGCAGATGTGTGAGGACTGTCCCAAGTATGAAGCAGATAGATCTATACAGGCCATTCTGGGCTAAATAGCAAAGAAGTGGGGGTAGCAAGATGTCTCCATGGATGACACTTGCCACCAAGTCTGATGACCTGAGTTGATCCCCAGGACCAACTGTTGCAAGTTAGCTGTCCTCTGACTTCCACACATCTGCCATAGTATAAGCACAGAGAGGGAAGATGGGAGGGGGGGTAAAGGAGGGAGGGAAAAAGAGGGGGGAAGGGAAGGAGGGAGAGAGGGAGAGAGAGAGAATAAATGCAATTGTTTTAAAGGAAACATCCTATCAAGAGATACTAAAGGCAATCCCATCCAAGAAATCAGATTTCACACCACTTTTGTTGGTATTGTTTATTTGTTTTGTTCTGATACAGAATCTTAGCATGTAGCCTCCAATTCATGACACTCAACTTCCCCATCCCAAGTGTTGGAATTACAGGCATGCACCACCACACCCTGATCTCACTCACTTTTTTAAAAATAATATAAAATACCATAATTATGTTAATACTATGGCTATCTAATATTTTTAAACAAGGATAAGGCAGTATCACATGCACCAAACACACTTAGTGACTGAGAATAGTGTGGACCATTAGTATGTTTCCTCTAGTAGATCTATCTGTGTGTGTGTGTGTGTGTGTGTTTCTCTGTGTCTCTCTCTGTCTCTCTGTCTCTTTCTCTCTCTGTCTCTCTCTCTGTCTCTCTCTCTCTCTCTCTCTCTCTCACACACACACACACACACACACACACACACACATGCAATTTCCCAGATGAATCTGAGACTGGGAAAAAGAAAAGTAATTTACCTGAAGTCATCTCTCAAGTCCAGAAAGAAATCCAGGAATATACAATTCTCTAAGACAGGAACTACTTAGGTGTGAAATTGAGCAGAGACATGCCTAAGGCTCCAGCTCCAAAATCAATATGCATATTCAAGTGTATCCCACAAGGAGCCTAGCCTGGCCTCTTGAGACCTTAACACAGCAGTGGTCCCCTTCCTGCCTGGACTGGTGTTCTGACCACTGAGGGTGAATGAGGGGATGGGAAGTGGTGTCTGCTGAGAACAGACTGAGTGGTCAGGGTAACTCTGCAGGGAAGGGGATGTAGTCAGACCCTGGGGGCAGAGCCTAAGAGCAGCAGGAGCATGGAGAAGGCAGCCCCTGGGGGTCCTACTTCCATCTAATGTCTCCACTCTCCCTGCCCTGGCACCCAGCCTCACTGAAACACCCTCTACAGAGCATTGGGAAAGAAGGGGGGACAAGGGAGGAATCTCATTCTGCCTGGCAGCCCAGTTACTTGCACTACTCTAACCCTCTCCAGATGTGGAATGGATGCCCATCCACACCCGCGCCTACGTGGGCACCTTGATTGGCTACGTCTACAGTGTGGGCCAGTTCATCCTAGCTGGTGTGGCCTATGCTGTGCCCCACTGGCGCCACCTGCAGCTTCTGGTCTCTGTGCCTTTTTTCGTTGCCTTCATCTACTCCTGGTACGTGGGATCTGGGGTGGGAAGCAATGATCCAGAACCCTACATGGCTACAAGGGACAGGCCATCTCCCAGAGGTGGGTACATACTTCCCCAGAAAATGTATCCAAGACAGAAAGCTGACCCCAAGCCAATGCTTCTGTTGAACGGATTCTGAAGCCAAGGATGTAGGGGTAGGTTTTGTCCTGGAGGAGGGTGGCAGGTCTCTGGCACCCCACAGTTTGACTACAACATTCCTACTGATACTCCTCTTCCCTACCCAGCACCCAAGAGCTAAGTTCTGGGTTGAGAATGAGTGATTATCAAACTGGCCACTGCTTGATGATCACTAAGGGTCTTAGCAAAGGCCCTGGTCCCCAAAACATAAATAACACTCTACTGTATATGTCTAATCCAGAAGACTGAAACTGAGACCAGGCTCACATCCGCCCTCTCTCCATCTCCACTCCCAGGTTCTTCATTGAGTCAGCCCGCTGGTACTCCTCCTCAGGAAGGCTGGACCTCACCCTCCAAGCCCTGCAGAGAGTGGCCAGGATCAATGGGAAACATGAAGAGGGGGCTAAGCTGAGTATAGAGGTAAGCCACCTTAGTCCCTAGATGCTGCCTGAGCTCCAACCCACATACCAGGACCAAGACCCAGGACTCAAGCTGGACCAAGGGCATCCTCTAGGAGGAGCTCAGGCCCTGAGTCATGCCCATCCACCACATCAGGTGCTCCGGACCAGCCTGCAGAAGGAACTGATGCTAGGCAAAAGCCAGGCCTCGGCTATGGAGCTACTGCGCTGCCCCACCCTACGCCGCCTCTTCCTCTGCCTCTCCATGCTGTGGTACGCTCAGACAGACAAGCAGGCTGGGGAGGGCATGGATGCCAGGGGTGGAAACGGAAGGCGAGGGGAGAGAAGGCCAGCAAATCTGCTATGAGGGATAATGAGAGCACAAAAGAGACCAGAGTCCTCCAGCTCAACCAGTCCCCGTGCTCAAACTGGTCTCCCAGCTTCTCTCACCAACCCTGTTCCTGTATAAACCACCTCATCAGGACCGATTGTCTCCAGAACCCACAGATTTATACTGTGAGGACAGCCCAGCATGCTTTGAAAAACACTCAGAGTCTTCACTGCTCTGGTGGTGCCTGGGGGCAAGCTAGCACCGGCATGAGAGGACCCACACTTACCCCCAAAAGTACACTTGGCCTAAAGATGGTATAACCCCAAATCTTCCTTTCCCTGTGCAGTGTTCCCATTATCTCTCTCATATGCATCACCATGGCAATCCCGTGATAGTTGAGTGGGGTGTGGTCAGAAGAACGATCCAGCCAAAGAATTTTTTGCTGGCAATTTTAGGTTTATTCCCTGTAGAGGATTCTATCCCCAAACCTAAGCATTGTGAACCCCTGAACATTCATCCCAGAAATACAGATAAGTCCCAGACAATTCCAGCCATTACCAACACCTTGATGTGTCTTATGGAGTAACCTCAGCCCAGCAGATAAGATAAAGACTCAGAGTATAAGCGTTACCTAGCAACAAAGTGTAAGTTCCCCAATCCCCTGGGGTGTCTAGTTAGCACGGGATTGGAGGACTGCCCCAATACTTGAACTGTGCAGTTTGAATATGCAGTTGTTAAGTGTCTGAAGAAGCAATAGGCAAAGTAGATCCTAGATGCCAAAGCAGGATACCCCATGCATCCCTGTATTTATGAAAGAATACACTTGCTTAAGCCTGTCTAACCAGCCCCACATCCCTCTCCCTCCCCACCAGGTTTGCCACTAGCTTTGCTTACTACGGGCTGGTCATGGATCTGCAAGGCTTTGGGGTCAGCATGTACCTTATCCAGGTGATCTTTGGTGCTGTGGACCTGCCCGCCAAGTTTGTATGCTTCCTCGTCATCAACTCCCTGGGCCGCCGGCCTGCACAGTTGGCCTCCCTGCTGCTGGCGGGCATCTGCATCCTGGTGAATGGGGTAATACCGAAGGGTGAGCATCTACCAGCATCTTGGCTCTCAGTCCCACCCACCCTACCCCTTCAGACATAACCCAACTTCTCAGAAGAAAAGAAGCCGGTACCTCCACCCTCAATCCCTATGTTCCTACTCTCCCCATTCCTTTCTCTTTAGACCAGACAATCATACGCACCTCCCTGGCTGTGCTAGGGAAAGGCTGCCTGGCTTCCTCTTTCAACTGTATCTTCCTGTACACTGGAGAGCTGTACCCCACAGTGATCCGGTGAGTGGGAGCCCAGGGCATGGAGGGGGGCGGTCTAGGGAAAGACAGTCCTTGCTCACACTAAAACCCCAGAACCCAGAGCATAGCCCAGCACACAAAGCCTCCCTTCAAAATAAAAGAAAAAATAAAGATAAAAAAAAAAAAACGAAACAAAACCATTAATCAGGGAAGGATATATAGGAACCACCCAATTACACATGTCAGGGTGTAGCTGACAGAGATATGGCTGTCCAGCCTTCACCTAACCCTAGAGGAGATCTAAAAGGGTCACCAACCGGAACAGGGTAGAGAGCCACATCTCAGAGACAATGAACTGAACACAAGTTCCAAGCTGTTACCATGTCCAAACTCCATCTAAAACCAGTAGGTCTGAAACCCAAAGACACAAACATGCAGGCAACTTCCTACAAGAACCACGCCGGACAATATGCCAGCCATATGAATAAGCTCAGCACCACTTTATAGAGAGATGGGAAAGGCACTAAGAAATAAAAAAAATATCTACTTCAAAATTCGAATGCAATCATCTCATGAAATGTCAAAGATGAGAACCTTGAGGCATCTTGAATACTATCCCATGCCTCTACAGGTTTCCAGACAAAATGTATACGGTGTACCAAGCACTCGGGTAAAACACGTACTATGTACCAAGCACTTTCTTAACCTTTTCACAAATATTAACTCACTTATTTCTCATAGCAGACCAAGGTAGGCACTGTCATTCTCCTTTTAAAATGTAAAACAGAGTAGGCGACTTCTGCAGGGTCACACAGCTAGCAAGGGGGCCGCACTGAACCCCAGTGCAGCTGTCTCCCCAATCGATATTTTTAACTTCTCTCATAGAGAATGCTCTTAGTTAGCTGGATTTATTTATTTTTATTTCACATATGAATGTTTTGCTTACATGTATGTATACATACCATGCCTAGTACTCACAGAGTCCAGAAGAGGACATCAAACCCCAGGCAACTGGAGTTACAGACAGATGGTTTGTGAGCTGCCATGTGGGTGCTGAGAACTGAACCTGCGTCCTTACGAGAGCAGCCAGTGCTCTTAGCAGCTGAGCCATCTCTCCAGGCCCTCATAGAGAATGAATGATCTTAACACACAAGCAATGTGCAGCTCCCAGATCCCTTCTCCCTGGACATCCTAACTAATAGGTCTCTGTGAGCTGGAGACAGCTAGAATTCACAAGGTAGGCAGGTGTGCTAGGGTGTATCTCGGGGGGCAGGGCAGCTGTCCTGTAGGTGTGAGGTCCTTAGTTCCATCCCTAGCACAGCCAGAAAGGGAAGAGGAAAACAAAAAACATTCTAGATGATGGTAACCTAAGAGTCACTGGTCTTTGTAACAGCTGGAAACCCAGAGATGTAAAGAGATTGGCTGAAGGTCACGCAGCAGCTAAAGGACAGGCAGAACTCAGTTTCAAGTATTCCAGTTCTCTGATGACAGTCCTTCTCAATTTTTGTTGTTGTTGTTGTTGTAACAAGTCACCACAATGGCCTGGGGATGCACATCAGTAGTGAAGTGTCTGCCTGGCCTGTGCAAGGTACTGGCTTTGATATCCAGCGCAACCAACAGCAAAACACAAAACTGCGGAATCATTCGCTAATTAAGTAGGAAAGAGGAGGCACAAAGATGTCCAGGGCTGGCAGAACTTGCCTGCTCCAAATGTGGCCACTAGAACCCACACCAGAGCTCTAACCAACACTCACCTGACCACAGGCAGACAGGCATGGGCATGGGCAGCACCATGGCCCGGGTGGGCAGCATCGTGAGCCCCCTGGTGAGCATGACTGCGGAGTTCTACCCCTCCATGCCTCTCTTCATCTTCGGCGCTATCCCTGTGGCCGCCAGTGCTGTCATTGTCCTCCTGCCAGAGACCTTGGGCCAGCCACTGCCGGATACAGTGCAGGACCTGAAGAACAGGTGGGCACACCCCCAGAGGATGGGTGACTTACTCCAGGTCACCCACACAGGCTGGGGTGGCACTGAGGCTCAAACCCAGAATTCTTCCAGATTAGCATTTTGTCCCTTTGTCCCTGAGTAGAAGGTTCTACCAAAATCCTTCTTAGGACTCTCAGCTCCAGGAAGGAGCAGTTGCTATCTGGGGGCAGATAGCAGGTGGCTAGTCACAGACTGAGGGGACAGCCTGCACCATCTCAGACCTGGACAGGAGGCTGCAAACCCAGATATCTGCTTTCCCTCTACCAGGAGCCGAGGAAAGCAGGGACAACTACAGCAGGAGCAGCAGAAGCAGATGGTGCCACTCCAGGCCTCAACACAGGAGAAGAATGGACTCTGAGGAGGAAGGGACCTCTCATGGCACTAAAGGGGGTGGGGCTCTACGGTCCTGCCACCTACCTGAGGAGCAGGAGTGGAGGCTGCCATTCAGGAAGTGCCTCCCCAGGGGTCACTTCAGGAGACCCCACAAGGAACAACAGTTGAAAGATCTGGCTGTGTGTAGATTCTTAGGTGGAATGTGCTCTTTGTCAACCATCTTCCAACTCAGTGTTCACACTGAGTCTGCCCCTCCCCAAGCTCCACTGCCCTCCGCCTTTAGGACGTTACAAAGAATCCCAGACAATTAAAAGACTCTCTTCTCCTGCCTTGGTCCCTCTCTCTTCTCTACCTCCACATATCCTCCTATCCAAACATTTCTGTTTTAGCTAAATGCCTTGTGCTCCTTTCCCTTCCCAGAAAGCAGAGCTCGATGAGACCCTGAAACAAAAGCAGCCAATCAGCGGCTCTGCTTTGGGCTCTTTCCCCCTTTGTGAAAACAGATGGAAACTTCTAGCAGCAGAAGAGAAAGGTGATTATAGGTAAGGTCAGGGTGCTGCCCTCTTCCAGCTCAGACCACCTAATCTTTCCTGTGTTGGCTGAGTTTTCAGGGTTGCTTTGTTCCCAGCCCAGGACTGCTGGAGGAGAAAGGTGAGGGTTGGGCAATATTGAACAGTCAGGAGACCCAACACTGACAGCTATTGGAATTATTTGAATATATTAACTTGGTTTCTCCTCCCAGTCACCCTCTGGAGGTAGATATTGTTTAAGAGTAATTTGGTTTGGCTTCATACTTTGGTTTTCTTGACACAAGCTAGAGTCATCTGAGAGAAAGGAACTTCAGTTGAGAAGATGTCCCCATAAGTGGTCTGCAGGCAAGCCTGTGGAGGATTTTCTTGGTTAATGATTGATGTGGGAGAGTCCAGACCACGGGCCTGGTGGTTCTGGGTGCTGTAACAAAGCCAGCTCACCTAGCCATGGGGGGCAAACCAGTAAGCAGGTTCTTCATGGCCTCTGCTTCAGTTCCTGCCCTGACCCCCACAGTGATGGAGTGTGGCCTTGGACCTGTAAGATGAAATAAACCCTTTCCTCCCCAAGTGTCTTTTGGTCATGCTTTTTGTCCCAACAATGGAAATACTATCACAGGGTCTTGTATACCCCTGGCTAGCCTTCCTATGTAGCTGCAGATGACCTTGAACCTTGATCCTTCTGCCTCTACCTCCCAAATACTAGTATTACAGGAATGTGCCACAATGCTCAAATCTGAAAGTAGTACTGTTTTACTCCTACCTCAGTGTCTTTCAGTCAGTATGTCAGGAACATTGTAGCATTTTCTGTGTCCAGAACAAAAATGGAACACTCCAGAGAATCCACACCTACCTCGTTCTGGCAGGGTGCTCCTCAAAAACCACATTCTCAGGCTTCACCCTGTCATGCCAGGTCCCACACAGGCTTTTGTCTAGTCCAAAGCCCTTCCTTATGTTTTTGTCCCACTCTCCAGAAGTTTCACAGCCCCAGAGAAATTTAGAGGACGTAGGCTTCACCAGCCAAGCTTCCAGGTCCTTTGGTAGGTTGGGTAGAGGAACCCACAAAGACACCCACAGCCAAATCCCTAGAACCCTCCATTGTGTTGCCTACAACAGAAAAGGAATCTTGCAGATGCGATTATATTAAGGATTCTGAGATGAGGAAACTATCCTGAATTATTTGGATTGGCCCAATGTGATTGCAAGGGCACTTGGGAGAGACAAATCAGAGAATAGGAGATGTAACAGCAGAATCAAGAGGTTGGTGACTCAAGAAGGGACAAAAATAAAGAGCAATTTAAGTCAAGACAGAGGCAGTAAGCTTCATTACTAAATTAAAGTAACTACTGATCATTTTCAATCAAATAAATACATTCAGCATTACCAAAAATAATAATAATAATAAATTAAGTGGTATGAGCCTCCAAACCAAAGAATGAGTGTAACTCCCAGGAGTTGAGATGAGAAGGAAATGGATTCCTTGAAGCTACCAAAAGGAACACAGCTCTGTTGACATAGCAACCTTTAGATATCCAGACTCTATCTATACATGAATAAAAGATTTAAGCCTCTATATTTGCGATGATTTCTTGCAAACAGCAATAGGAAACTGGTATGCCTTTGGTTAGTTTCCTCCTGGTAGAAACATTATTTTTCCATGTACTATATTTATGTTTGGTGTACAGCCTAGGTAAGCAAAGTCCCCTATTATCAAATTCACAGGGTTTGCCTTACCCCTGGTTCCTGTAGATATTTTGGAGCTCCTAGACTCCTCTCTGCTAAATCCTCACATGCCTACCCCAGCCTCCCAGTCGCCAGCCCTCCAGACTCCCAACCCCCTGCTTAAGTGTTTCAAAGACGTGCAAGAAAAAGAGTTCATCATAGGTACAGGGGCCGAGGTTTAGCTCCACTGGTAGAGTACTTACCTAACAGGCATGAAGCCCTGAGTTCCAGCCTCAGCACTGAGTAAACCAAGCATGGTGGTTTGTGCCTATAATCCCAGCACTCAAGAGGTAGGACAGGAGGAACCAAGTTTGAAGCCAGTCTGGTGTTGGTGATATGCACCGTCTTAAGGGGAGAACAAAAAGAGATGAGCACAGGGAAGGGAAAGGAACAGAAGGAAACACTGCATGGATCTGTGCCTTACTGTGCCTCCTCTTTGAAAAAAAAAAAAAAAACAAAAAAAAAACAAAAAACCCTCAGTAATCTCTTAGGGCAGCGATTCTCAACCCATGGGTTACAACCCCTTTAGAAGGTCAAATTACCCTTTCACAGGGGTCACATATCAGATATCCTGTGCATCAAATACTTACATTATGATTCATAACAGTAGAAAAATTACAGTTATGAAATAACAAGGAAAATAATCTTATGGTTGGGGGTCTCCACCAGATGAGGAGCTATATCAAAGGCTCCACAGATGGAAAGGTTGAAAGCAGTCTTTGGGTTATCTCCATGCAGCTCAGATTGTGACAACATTCCAGTAGCTGAATCTCTTGCAAACTGATGAAGTGCTGATCTTGATCTGGAGACTCGGTTTCCTCCACCAGCTCTAATTCATTCTTACCCTGTTTTGCTTAAATCCCTCCTCAAGAGAAGTCCACACCCGCACTATGATTTAAGTCACATCTGTGTAAGCCAAGCCAAGTGTAAGGACCCAAGTCAGCTATGGTTTAGATGTAGGTGGTAGATGATGCTAGATGTTCAGATGGAATGTCTCAAAGAACAGCAGTCACTAAAGCAAGGACTGGGGGACCAAAACATAACACAGTAGAAACTAGAATTACCTCAGTAATTGCATGCCATTGGCACGGACATTTAACCAATTCCAAAGCCAGTTACTGAACTCTACTTGAACTCACCACTTGCAATTATAGTGCATGGTTTTAAAAGCATTGAGAATAGAAGAGGAAAAGGTTCCAACCATCAAGGAAAGCAGGGTCCAAAAGAACTCTTCTACTCAGGGCTGGAGAGATGGCTCAGAGGCTAAGAGTACTGCCTGCTCTTCCCGAGGTCCTGAATTCAATTCCCAGCAACCACATGGTGGTTCACAATCATCAGTAATGAGATCTGGTGCCCTCTTCTGGCCTGCAATACATAATAAATAAATCTTTAAAAAAAAAGAAAAGAAAGAAACCTCTTCTATTGTCAATGACCAGAAAACTGAAGGAAACATAGACACAGGATACCAGGTAGCACCAATCCATACTTGCTGTGAGAAAGGGAACAAGACAAATGATATGAAAGTAGATTCTGGACCTCAGCACAGAAGCAAGATCCAAACAGAGCCAGGCAATCCCATGAAGTTGAGAAGAACAAATGAGAAGGTCAAGGTGGCCAAGGCAGCTAGAGATTGCAGAAGTGAGAACATATAGGGATGAGAGAAGAAAATACTGAGTCCCACCGGTTTGAAGATTCAAAAGAGGATTCCTATTGGTGGAGATGTAGCTCAATTAGTAGAAGGCTTATATACCTCAGTACCACATGCAAACCAGGCATGGTGGCTCACACTGGGAATCCCAGCACGCAAAATGTCAGAAGTCAAGGTCATCCTTGGCCACATAGCGATCTCAAGGCCAGCCTGGGCCACATAGATTGTCTCAAAAAATACGTGAAAAGAATTTCTAGGACCAGCGAGTTGCCTCAGAGGGTAAAAGCACACAACACACAAACCTGACAACATGATTCTGACTGTAGAAGTAGTGAACTGACTCCTGAAAGTTATATTTTGACTTCTATATGCACACACAGAGAGAAGAGAGAAAGAGAGAGAATAGAATTAAATCTTTAAAGAATTCCTAGAACTTGTAAACAGAACTCAAGCACCCCAATTCAAATACAGACAAAAAAAATCATAAACACAGGCTTTGCCATAGAAGATACAGTAACAGATGGTAAGTACTTAAGATGATCAGCCTCAGTAGTCATGAGGAAGACGTAAAATCAGACCACAGTAAGATGCTGGTTCACACCCATACAAACAGCTAAGGTAAAGTTCTGGATTCTCTACAGCCATGTTGCCCAGGGCATCACCTGGGGGCTCTACAGAATCCTCACCAGCACCAAGACTCTCAGCAGATGTGGCCTCTTGACTTTAGACTTCCTGCTACTCCATGTGACCAAGACACAGCCAGAAGGCTGAGGCTCAGGTGGGGAGGCCGATCTACACTGGACTTTGACAAGGGGGGGGCAGTGATTTGAAATGGAGTCCACCAGAGAACACCCTCACATTGACAGGTCCACAGCTCAGCAGCGGACCCCAGTGGAGGCCTTCCTACTCAAGCTGAGTTTTCTCTATAACTCTCCCAATTATACCAAATGGGTTATCGATAAATTTGTTCTGTCTTTGAAAACTAAATTAAGACTGACCACACCAATGTGCTGAAAAGAAAAAACAGAAATCCAGTTCTGGCAAAAACCTAAGTTTGTAGCCATTTATGAGCAATGGAACAACAATGAGCCAAAGCAAACCTTTGCACTTTGTAAGATGACTTACCTCAAGTATCTGTTACAGTGACAGG